AAAAAAAAAACCAACTCCATACTAATTTACTCTTTGAACCACCAAATGCACTTCCCTTAGGGATGTCATAACCAGGCTACAGCAACACTTTAAATCATGTTGCTTCTTCTCCACATACTACAAACATGTTTTCCATTTTATTAATGTTGTTACCTTACTCACTGCCAATGAGTCAGTTTTAATTCATAGCAGCCAACCAACAGTTTTCTAAGGCTATAAATTATGAGAGGAGACTACCCGTCTTTCTTCCTTAAAACTCCCTTGGTGGTGAATTCAAACCATCAGAAGTGCATGGCCTTCGTGTTAACAGCAAATTTCACTATTGTCTACCATTAGAGCTCCCAGATATTTTTATAATGACTTTCTACAATAATGGTAATTAGTATTTGTGAAGCTACAGCAAGAGTTTGGTTTTTTAGAATGAAGTTGTAATAAAAGCAAAATAAACAGAACAATTTATAGAAGCTTCCAGTTTAGTAATAATATAATAATGCAATTCAATGTGGAAATATTTTACAGAACCATTTTGTTTTGAGTATTTGTATAATCTAAACAATATTAAATTAAAGCAGTTTACAGTTACATTTGTCATATTGCGTTCCCTAATTAAAATATACATTGAAATGACTAAAGAGCTAAAATGGCTGGCAAAGGGAGAAATTCATGGAGGGTGAGGGAGAAGGTCAGTGTATAATTGGGTAGCACCAGATTAATCCAACAGATTCACCTATTTTATGACAGGTAACTTATGGCAGGTGATAGAAAAGTAAAACTGTCACACGTATCTTGTTAGATATTTATTAGCACATGGGTGAAAAATTCAACTAGGGAAACCCAACTGCAACAAGAATACGTTTATGATTTTGATTACAAAAATAAGATACTAAAAGCACAATTACCTCAATTTTGGTTAAGAGGTCTTGTAGTTCTCCTGATTCATTCATTGACAAAATTTTCTCAGCACCCTATTGACAAGAAAGGGTTGGGGGAAAAGAAAACCATTCTGTTATTTCCTAAGAAAATAAGATACTATAAAGAAAACTTTCTTATTATTACTATTAATTTCAATGAACATTTACAGAGACTTTAGATTTCCGCTCATTCGTTGTTGCACTTTTCTCCCTGCCGCCCCCCCCCAGTTCACTTTTCTCTTTGAAAAGTAAAAGTAAAATTCCTTCATTGGTATACAACCCCCCCGCACCCCCTCCCACCCCCACCCCAAGTGTACTCCACGTTGCAACCTTCATTCCGGACTCTTACGATAATTATAATATCCTATAATATATTGCTTTTAAACTGTTCTATCCCTCATCCATTTCAATGCAGTATACATAATTCAGAAAACTTTTACCCTTAACATTGAATACAATACAGTTCCAAGTAAATTTATGACCAAGAGACGAATGAAGACAACAAATCTCTCTTTACATTCACATATGTTTCTCATCTATCAAGGCTACTGTAGGCAAGGGGCTCAAGACGTTGGAGTTGAGACACAGAAATGGAAGGGCTCAGCCACCCTTCATAGTTGTGTAGGTGCCTTGCAGGTTAACTCTGTCATTAATAAAGGTCACCTGAGATCAAATTGTAGCCTGGGTTATCTATATCCATTCTTCCCCAAATAGTACAGAATATAACTCTCCTTAGAGTAACCAATGTGAAAGTGATCAGCTCAACTCATTGCCATCAAATGGAAGCCAACACACAGGGGATCCTTCAGGGGATTTTCAAAGACTGTAAATCACACAGAAGGAGATTACTCTCCTATCTTCCATTGAGCTGCAGATAGATCCAAATAATCACCATTGCATTAGCAGTAAAAATCCCCACAGACTATACCACCCGAGCTCCCCAAAGTTGAAGTTTTTCTTGTTGCATATACCTTCAAGTTGGAATCAACATACAGTTGACCCTCCACTGATTTTTCAAAGGAAGTTAGTCACAGCAGAAGAGATTGCACATCTTTCTCTCTCAAAGCATCTGATGGATTCAAATTATGTTCCTTTGGGTTGGGAGCACAACTTCATACCACTAAGTTACCAGAGCTTGCCCTCAAAGTAATAGCAGATATTAATATTGAAAGTATATCGGGATGGGTGTGTCAGAGGCAATGAGATTGGCACAGGATAGAGCACGGTTTAGGGCTGTTGTACATAGGGTTGCTATGAGTCGCAAATGACTCGATGGCACATAACAGCAACAATAACAACATATTCGTTGAAGGTGTTGTAAAGTGTTGTCAAATTTATTTTCAACATGTGACAGAGTAGAATTTCCCCACAGGGAAAGAGTACACAGAAGTACTGTATGAAAAAGAGTCGTATGATACAGAAGAAATGTTATATGATCAAGAAACAATCGTAATGAGAGAGAGAGAGAAAATCATGACCTAAGAGGAAACTCAATCTGCTATGCAGAAATTGAAGAAATTCACAAAAAATCAAAATCCCAGGAATTTATGGAACACCAATTGACATATTTTAAGGAACACAGATGCAGCCCTAAACATGTTCACCAGGCTGTTCCAAGAAATTTAGAGGAAAATAATATGGCTAATTGACTTGAAAAGATCCATATTTATTTCTATTCCAAGAAAAGATGGTCCAACAGTTTGTGGAACTTACTAAATTATGATACACTAATAACACATACAAGCAATATCCTGCTGAAGATTACCCAAAAATGCCTGTAATAGTACAATGACAGAGAACTACCAGAAATACAAGCTGGGTTTAGAAGAGGCCATGGCCCTAGGGATACCATCTCCAATGTCAAATGGATCTTGGCTGAAAGCAAAGGGTACAAGAGGAATGTCTCTCTGTTTCATTGACTATACAAAGGCATTTGATACTGTGGATCACAACAGATTTTTGCTAATCTTGAGAACAATGGGAATCACAGAACACCTGATTGTGTTCATGTGAAGCTTATACTTACACCAGGAAGCAGTCAACAGAACAGAGCAAGGAAACACTGCTGAGTCAAAAATTGGGAAAGGAGTGTGTCAGGAAAGCATCCTGTTTCCATACCTTTTCGATCTATACGCAGAATAGATCATTCGAGAAGCTGGACTTTATGAAGAGTAATGTGGCATCAGAATTGGAGGGAAGACTCATCAACAGTCTACATTATACTGATGACACAACCTTGCCTTCTGAAACTGAGGAAGGCCTAAAGCCTTGGCTGCAGAAGATCAAGGACTATAGTCTGCAGTATGGATTAAAGTTCAATATAAAAAAAAATGAAGATTCTCACCACTGGGCCAATTGTCAGAGCTATGATAGATGGAGAAGAGATTGAGGTTCTTAACAGTTTCAGCTTGCTTGATTTCACAATCAATACTTTTGGGACCATCAGTCAGGAGATCAAGAAACAAATTTCATTAGGAAAATCTGCTGTCAGAGACCTGTCTAGAGTAAGGAACAACAATGATGTCAATCTAGAGACTAAGATGTTCCTGATCCAGGCCATTGTCTTTGCAATTACTAGTTATGCATCAGAGAGCTGTAAAAGTACTAAAGATGACAGAAAAAATTGATGTCTTTTATTTTCTGCACTGGAAAAGAGTGGACTGCCAAGAGAACTAACAGCCTCTCCTTGGAGGCAAGGGTTTTGAAGCTCCAGCACATATATATTGGACCTGTTACCAGGAGGGACTTATCCTTGGAGAAGCATATCATGCTTGGAACGATGGAGTGACAGTGCAGGAGAAGAAGACTCTGAATGAGATGGATTGACATAGTAATGAGTGTTTTTCAGAGACAGTGAGATTGGCTCAGGATAGAACAGAGTTCATAGCTATGGTGCATAGAGTTGTGGTCAACTCAATTGCACATAATAACAACAATTTCTAATGAACAGTCTGGATATTATAAAAAATTCATTTGAAAATTTAAAAAGAATCTTAAGCTTTAGGAAGGTTATAATTTATATTTATGTAAACACACAGATAACCTTCATTGTAAATATGCCAAATGAATGGCTGGGACATGGGTAACTATCTAGAAAATCACAAGGTCTTTGCTTATTGAAGATATTAAAGATTTTCTGAGGTTAGTGGCATTGGGTTTACATGTAAAACCCTAAGTTTCCAAGATGAAGTTGACAAATTTCTAGTGATGACTAGGATCCCGTAGAAAACTTAAGTCTTCCAAATGTCTTACATGTTGGATTGCTAAGCAAAAAATTGATTGGTTGAGTCCATGGGAGAAAGATGGGCATTCTTCTCCAGTAAAGATTAGTAACTTCTGAAACCTGATGGATGGTCTTTATGAATCAGAATTAACTTGATGATAGTAGGTATGGATTGGTTTGGCTAATCTAAAGGTTAGTAATTTAAATATACTTAGCATTATCATTGCATAAAGTCCTGGTGTGCTACTTCCATAAAGATGACAACCAAGAAAACCTTATGGAACTGAGTTCTACTCTGTAATATACGACTTTGCCATAAATTAGAATTAATGGCAACGAAAATTTGTTTGGGTGTTATTTGTTTGGTTGTTTATTTTTTTTAAGGAGCCCTCAATTTGCGATCTCATTTCCCTTCAGTTTGTCTTATATCACTCATGTCATCTTCACTGCCGTTAGAAATGACAAGTCGATATATTAAAAATGGCTATAAAAGAATACACAGGACTATGGAGAGCATATATAGCGCTAGAGAACAGATTATATTTGTTGTATTTGTTGGTTGTTTTGAAAGAAATATAGATGTGACACACCGACAGTGAGAACAAAGGTAATGAAACTCTATGACAAAACATTAAAATCTAAGACCTAATGAAAAACTGATAATATTTTAGTTTAACTACATTGCACTTATTTTAATAGTTAGATAAGCTAATGTAGGGAAAATTTCCAGATAAATTGGCATATGAATTGAGGCGGAGGGGAATATAGGTTTAATATTCCTAAATTTTAAAAAAAAAAGTGCAACGATTCTAAACAAAATGAATGTTCTTGAGAAGAAGCAATCATTGCAGCTTTGCTTTTCCCTCAACACTGAGCCTAAGTCATTTTTTTTGTTCTTGAAGCTAATGTGTTCAAATTTTGTAAATATATTAGTTGTTGTTATTGTTGTTCTAATGTGCCATCAAGTCGCTTACAACTCATAGCGACCCTATGTACAACAGCCCTAAACCCTGCTCTATCCTGTGCCAATCGCACTGCTTCTCACACACCCATCCCGATTACCCCAGTCACTGAATCAATCCACCTCATAGAGGGTCTTCCCCTCCTGCACCGTCCCTCCACCGTCCCAAGCATGATGTCCCTCTCCAAGGACCAGTCCCTCCTGGCAACATGTCCAAAGTATGTCAGATGAAGCCTCAGAATCCTTGCCTCTAAGAAGCAGCTTGGTTTAACCCTCTCCAAGACGAATCTGTTTGTTTTCTTAGTAGTCCATGGTACATTCAATACTCTTCTCCAGCACCAGCACCACAGCTCAAAGGCATCAATTCTCCTTTTATCCTCCCTAGTCATTGTTCAACTCTCTGACGCATAACAAGTGATTGAAAATAAACTAGTAGAAAATAAAAATAGCAAAAGTATAGAAAGGAACTCTGTAAACTTCCATGAAAATCACAGTAAAATAAAGTATATTAAAAAAAAAAAAGACTACAGTGCATATGCCTGGAAAGAATTTGTCTTATTATCCTTAAATACATGAAATGTATTTGTACTTTGTATCAATTCAATAATTTCAACACCATAACATAGAAGCTCTGGAGGCCTAGTGGCAAGAAGCTGTGCTGCAATCCTGAAGGCACATGGTTTGAGGACACCAGTTACTCTGCAGAAGAAGGATGGGCAATCTCCTTAAGTGGAATTAACCGACCATGAAAACTCACTAGAGTGTCAGCTATGAGTTGGTTCTGATTCAATGGTACACAACAAAAACAAATGCTTGATATACTCTTGAGTCAGTGGAAAGAGGGAAATATTCATGAGGTGACTGATAACC